GATGGGTGAGGTGCAGATCTTTTCGTGGCTGTGGATGCCTTTCAGCACCGCCTTCTGAGCCTTCAAAGCTTTTGCTTTGGCTTCAGCTTTGGAAGGGGCAGGAGTTTCCCTCTCTGCCTTTGGCATAAACCTGGTAAAAAGATGTCTTTCTTTATAAGATAGGAAAATGAATAGTATGTTTATATATTTAAGCGATCAATGGAGAACAAATATGACTACATAAAGAGAGCTTGAACTCCTGGAGCAATGTCCTTGAGTTGAAACCACAAAATGAGATCTAGTGCCATAGACTGCTTTAGTATGACTACAGATTATTCTTCTGATACTTGGCAGGGAGGAAGAGTATGGGAGTACAGAAACTAGAAGCTGCATAGGTGTGTTAGTAGGAATTGTGGCGGTGGTAAATGCTTCCAAGAAGTAAAAAAAAAAAAAACAAACAAACAAAAAACAGAGTATGTAGGGACAGCTTATGAATGAGAAGGACTTTGGGTTTCTCACCAGTGGTACAACCCAACAGTGAAGGGGTCAAGGACTTTAAAAATCCTAAGAGAATTTGCAAACTAAAGTTCTATATTTAACAAGGGTATAGAAAATGCACTTTTTAAATGTACAAGGTGTGTTACATATCTTGTTTGCCCTTCCAGTTCCTTTTCTATGCACTTTGAAGATAGGTACGCTTTACTTGGTCAGCATAACTTTTTCTTTTTCTTTTCTTTTTTTTTTTTTTTTTTTTTTGGGGGGGGTTTAGTCAAAGACACTGGTAGCAGAGCAGGGGATAGACACAGAAAAGACAATGCTATGTTTTTTCTTTCTTTCTTTCTTTCTTTTTTTTTTTTTAACCAGGGATTGAACTCAGGACCTTGCACTTGCCAGGCATGTTTTCTTACTGCTAGTTACAGATCTTGCTGGGCAAACCCTTTCTATAGCTGAAGCTCTCTCTGGATTCTAGCAAGTACTCCATCCTTTTTCCTCTTTAGGCACAGTTTCTTGCTATTGCTATTCCCATCTCTTAATACCAGAAACCCTTGAAGGATGCTATTTTTCTCTTGGCTGAATCATAAGTGGAAACACAGGTCTCTAAAAATTTATGACTGCAACTTGTCTCACAAACCTGTTGGAGAAGGTTCTCCACTGAAATAAGGAAGTAAGAAAGAAGAGATGGAAGGAAAGGAAAAGAAATCCTCGTAACTATTGCACAAGATCAGAGGATGACAAGTTGGTCTACAAAACAACCAACTCAGATTTTTTTTCCATAATTTTATTTAGAAACAAATAGCAATGAGACCGTTTCAAACCGAATTGGTAGGACAGGTCCAATAATTAACACATTGCATACATGCTTCCTAGTGGTTAATTGCTGTACAAGATGCAGACATGATATCCTATTTACAAACACTATTAGAACAAATCCCTCTATTCATTAAGAGAATGTAACTATATATCTATCCTAAGCATTTTGAATACACAGATACAAAATGGACATTCATCTGTATCCCCTTTTTTGTTAAGTTCTGTTATTTGAATATTATAGGTGTGTTATCTCAGCAAAATGTTCTAAAAGAGTCCAGTAGTCCATAATAGTATTGGGTCTTCCGCTTCACTGGCAATGTCAGAAATTGTTGACCTGAGTCCCCTACAGCTCAACATAACAGCATGGCTTTACTTCTTATACTTTGTTTTTATATTTTTCTGCTAGATGGTTAAGACCAAGATAAAGCAAGATCTATGCAACAAGAGTTGTAGCTTTTGGGTCTGATAAAGTCAGTGAAATCTCCTCAGAATTTATCCTGAGATCCTGTACCTCAGATTGTAGAACCTTTGTCAGTGTCAGCCATGTGGATGAGTCACGGGCATTGCTTGGCCAATGTGCTCTCTGTGAAAGCCTGAGAGAATGTTTTCTCTCCATGTGACTTTCCTTAGTCACACTCTACATCATCGATCACTTTCCTCTTTGACCCCATAATCTCCTTGATCAGAAAATTTGGGACACTACCAAGTTACATGATGTAACAGTACAAGTTCTCATATGTCCTGAGTCTTAATTGACCTCGGAAGGCTAGGGCCAAAATGTTGGTTTTCCTTGCGGCCCTCCTTTTTCTCTAATTTTGGTCTGCAAACTTAGGTTGTTAACCCTCCAGAAGAGAAGCTTATTGTTATTACCATACAACCTAGGCTGTTAAGCTTAACCTCACTACCTGTCTGAATATCAAACATCTTAGAGACTTTTAAAGAAGGCATTTTCTATAACACCATCTAAAGTTGACACAATATTTATTGTGATGTCATTTGACCTATGACCTACCATTTGACAGCATAGAAAATAAAAATCTCCCCTTATCAATAAGCCTCTGATCTGTGTGAACTGAGGCAGGATAACAGTTTTGCCAATTCCTTACAAAGTAGGAGGATGGCAGCCAGGTGTGGTGATATATACCCATAATCCCAACACTTGGGAATCTGAGGCAGGAGGATCAAGAGTTCAAGACCAGCATGGGCTACACAGAAAGATCCTATCTCAAAAGAAAAGAAAAAATAATAGACAAAGTATGAGAATAGTTAAATATAACACATACTGCACACAGTAGGCATTCCTAATTGCCATTTTTTCAGCCATCTTAATAAAAGAAAGTTTGATGAGGGATATTATAAAACAACAAGGAATATAACTTTGGCCTGAGGGGGGCTTGGCCCTAGCTCAGTCCTTTAAGTGGCTGCTTCCACAAAGCTGTCAGCCTCAGGTTGCTGGAGTTTGAACCTCACAACTCTCCCGCTGTTCAAAAGTGCCCTGAAGGCATTCGAGGAACAAAAAAAGAAAAAAAAAAAAAAAAAAAAAAAAAAAAAAAAAAAAACCTTAACTTTGACCTGAATTTAAGGAGCAGTTGGTAATCTAAAACTTATGTGGGGCTGGAGAGATGGCTCAGTGGTCTAAAGCACCTACTTAGAACAAGCTTAGCAAAGCACAGGGACCACGGTTCAATCCCCCAGCACCACATGCCAGCCAGCCCTGCCCCCAGGTGGGCTGAGCTGGCCACACACACACACACACACACACACACACATAAATAAATAAAATTTAAAAAAAAATTAAAAAATAAAATAAAACTTATGTGGTGCTAGAAGCATGGCACTATTATGAGCAGACTAAGCAAATATGACATGAAATTGACAACTCTGTATAAAAAAGGTTGAGGAAAAAAGGCTCTGAGTTACAAAAGATGACTGAGAGAACAGTGCAAATAGTAAATGAGCTCTCAGAGAGACCATGAATTGTGTAAACCTCTCCTTTACAGCAGGAACCTACAAGGACACAGGGAGTTTGACCTGGAAGTACCCAGTCTGCTTGACATCACAGAAAGCCTTGCACCACAAGGCAGGCTTCCAGTTCCTTCCTTAACCTTAACAAAACAAAAAATTTTAGCTGCTGGAGTGTATTAGGTCTATCAGTTCTAGAGGTTGGTCAGCTATTAATGTCCTGAAAGCTAAAGGAAAAAAGTCATTTCCAATAATCAACATATTTCCAGTGCTTAAGATTCTCCAGTCACTGTTCTAAGCCATTTTAGATGAATTATCCCATTTAATATTCATAATAACTCTAGGTCCTTTTATCCCCAATATGCAGATTTTAAAAATGGAGACTCAGCTGGGTGTGATGGCACACACAAGTAATGCCAGCATTCCAGGAGGCTGAGACAGGACTGCAAGTTTGAGCCCAGCCTGAACAACTTCAAGCCCTGGTGAAACCCTCTCTCAAAATTAAAAAAGAGCTGAGGATATAGCTCAGTGTGAAGGCCCAGGGTACAATTCCCAGCACTATAAAACTAAATGGTCAGAGAAGTAAGTTACCTAAGGTTAAATGGATAACAAATTAATTGAGCTAGGCCTCAATTGATATTAGCCAGCCTCTAAAGACTTTTAGACATCTCATTGCAATGTACCAATATATATCAGACAGAGTCTTTAGTTATTAGAAATGATTTTCAAATATAAGATGTTCTGGAAAATGTGCAAAGGTCATACTTATTTGAAGCTACTGCTTTTTTAAAAATTTTTTATTTATTTATGTGTGTGTGTGTGTGTGTGTGTGGCCAGCACAGTCCACCAGGGGGCGGGGCTGGCATGTGGTGCTGGGGGATTGAATCGCAGTCCCTGTGCTTTGCTAAGCTTGTTCTAAGTAAGTGCTTTAGACCACTGAGCCATCTCACCAGCCCCTACTGCTTTTCTAAGGTGTACTACGTTGCATCTTTTAAACCATCACTTCTTTCTGGAATTAGGATTCAGTCATTCAAATATACTTAATTACTGAAGTTGTAATGGAGGGAAAATAATTTTGGAGCTAGTTTAGATTCTTTGTGCATGCTGTGTTAAGTATGGAGTAAACGTGTAGTGACTGGTTAAAGACTCTCTAGTAGGTCTTTCCCAATTTCACCCAGTGTCTCCTACAAAAGATTTGTCAAGACCACTAGCACAAACCGCGCCTGTCACAAGCCTGGGAGAACTTGCTTGTGACGTAGGTCCAACTTGAGGAACACTCAGCCGTTGCTTCCTCCCGACTTTCCAATTTGAGGAACAGGCTGCCACTTGAGACTGCAAAGAAGGGAGCCCCGAAAACTAGGTTCATACGAACACGCCAGACGGAAGCTGCGGGGCTGCCCATTTCCACCTTGGCGCCGGTGAGGCGAAGGCTGAGAAGCCACACTCAGCCTGAGCAGTGGCCCGGCGCGCGATGACAGCGCAGGAATTCCGCGCCGGCTGCGGAGTTTATAGTCGGGGCTGGAAGGTTGCGAAGGCGCGCTGCCCACCTGGCACGCCCCACCTGCCTCAGCGCAGCCACGAGAGCAGACGCATCCACGCCAGCACTTCCACGCCGCGAAGCCCGCTCGCAGCCCGCCCACGCGCACGCGCAGCGCAGCCTGAAGGACGGTCGACCGCGCACGCGCAGGGCGTCCCGATGCGCGCCTCTGGCCCCGCCCGCTCCGCCCCAGCCGGCCCCGCCCGGCTCCCGCGAGCTGCAAACCCCATATCCGGGTTCCCGCCGCCGCCGCCGCCGCCGCCGCCGCCGCCGCCGCCTCGCTCATTGAGCCTTACCGGGAGTGGTGATTCCCAGCCAAGATGGCGGCCGTGGGACGAGTCGGCTCGTTCGGTTCCTCTCCGCCGGGATTAGCTTCGACTTCTGCGGGCGGACCTTTGGCCAACGAGCTAGCGTCCGGCAACGGCGGCGCTACAGCCGGCGACGACGAAGACGGGCAGAACCTTTGGTAACGACCCCACCCCTCCCTGGGTCCCCGGGGCTCTCCCGGCCTTGCGGACACCCAGCGATCGCGTAACCGCGAGAGCTGAATGCCAGGCCTGGACGCCGAGCCTTCGGCCGACCCCGCCCAGGCGTGCTGAGGCGGGCAAGTCCCTCGGGCCCCTGGTCGGGGTTCAGCCTGCGCCTTGCTCCCCGTTAGGTCATGCATCCTCAGCGAGGTCTCCACCCGCTCGCGCTCCAAGCTCCCCGCGGGGAAGAACGTGCTACTCTTGGGTAAGTGCTCCTCACCTCGCTGCGCCCCTCCCGACCCCACCCCGGGCCTGGGTCCAGTCCACCGGCCGGCTTTCTCGTTGTCTTTGTGCAGAGCGACAGCTGGGGGTCCCCAGTTCCGGCCCACGGGGACCCGCCCTCCTTCAGGTCTCTTTCCAGAGGGTGGCATTGGCTCGGTCAGGCTCCCCTGGGAGAAGCGGAATGGATGTCCATTCAAAGTGTTCTAAGTGGCCTGGGGATTAGCTAGAAAACAGGGACAGTTTTTTGTTTTTGTTTTTGTTTTTATTTTCATTACAAAAAATGCGTAGCAGAAGTCTCCGAGGTTTTTGGTGCAAATAGCATGTCATTAATGTTTAATAGCTGACTCTTTGTGTAATTGACAGAGAAACTAGAACTGAGACCTGGTAGTCGTCATAAATGTGCTTACTTGATTGATTCAGTGTTCTGGGGTACAGTGTGCTCGCGTTGCAGTTGCCCTTTTTAACGTCCACTTGATGATTCTGGCATTTGTAATAAATATAGTGAACACCTTTCTCGTTTGGTCCTTTCAACTAAATGCATAGAATAAGGAGAAATGGCATAATGTATCCATTTTCCTAATTGCCCCGTATCCTCGCAGTTCTTCACAAGGTATGTTGTTTTATATACTGGGGGTGGAGTCAGCGCACCACGGGAGATCAGTTCGCAGGTTCATATTTTCCACAGGCTCAGCTTTCTGAATCATTTACTATAGAGATGCCTTCCATATTTTTTTAAAAAAATCAATTTCTTTTAATTGTAAGATATTGAAATTTGACCTGTAATAGTTAAATGTTAAAACTTTGGTATTTGTGTCTCAATACTTTGGTCGTGTACATCTAAAAACAGTAAAGAAAGCAAAGAAATGCTGTTTGACAGAATCCACAGTTTAACTGGAATGGTTAAATGGGAAGAAATCGCTTATTTCCTGTGAACTGCTACAATAACATACAAGCTGTATGATCTTAAGTACATTGTTAAACCTCAGTTTCTTCATCTTTAAAATGGATGCTGTGGAAATAATGTCTGACTCCTGGCATTGAGGGAGGATTAAATGGGATATTTGTAAAAGGAAGACAGCACACTGACTTTTGATGGATTTATCTTAACTGAATTAGAAGACATTTTTTAGTGCTGTCTTTATTTTTATTTATTTATTATTATTTTTTTTTTTTGCGGAACCGGGGATTGAACTCAGATCCTTGTGTTTGCCAGTCACGCGCTTATCCTACTGAGCCATCTACCCAGCCCCCCCTTTTTTTTTCAGTGCTGTCTTTAAAAATTGAGTCAGTACCTGTATAAGTGATATTGTTAGGGTAGAGATAAATTAGAATTTAAAAGTAAAAAATAAATTGAGAAAACATTTTTAACTTAGTAATTTAAGCAAATTACTACTAATTACAAAAAAATAGGCTTAGGCTGCATGACTTCATTGAAATAGACTGTTTAATTACTCTAAGTTAAATAAGATTTCTTTTCAAATACTCTAGTTATAGAGGCAAGATTCCTGAATTTTGTTTTCCTTTGATAGTTTTTCCAGTTATTTTTGTGCATGAACTCTTACATGGGCAGTTAAGAGATGGTACTATTGTGGTAAAACAAAAGCAGCAGTTTTGTTCATTTTTTGTTGTATCTAATTTGCACAAATTTTGCCATGTGTTTGTTTTTTTAGTAGTCCAGAGCTGGCCAAATGGCTCAGCATATTAAAGTGCCTGCTTAGGCAGATTCAGGGGTGGAAGTTCCCATGCTGGGAGTTCTATCCCTAGGCCTGCTGTGCCGGGCCCCGCCCCCGGGGCACGCTGAGGACCATTGAGACTGGGCGTGGTTGCCCAGGTTTATAATCCCAGCACTTGGGAGGCTGTAAACAGGAGAATCACTACGAGTCTGATCTACGCAGTGAGACCCTGTAGACCCTGTCCTAAAATACAAAAAAAAAAAAAGTCCTTTGATGCTAGGTCAATATATAAGACTAAATGTACTTAGAGGTCCCAGCCTCCTCTATTCCTCCACATTTAAAATAGATCAGATTTCCTTTTTGATGGACTTAATAGTTTGGAAAGCTCCATCTGGCATCAAGTTATATGAGCTTGAAATTTAATATTTTTCCTTTAGTACTACTGGGATTTCCATGGTCTTTTTCTGCTTTGGAAAAAGATGACTTAGTTTTCATACTGATTGCATAAATAGGTTTAATTTTTTCTGAAATATTTCTAAAGATTCCTTAGAGACATATTATTGTCACATATTACGACAGTATTCAGTCTGTGGTGGTAGAGGAAAGAAATATACAAGTAGTTTTATTTTATTTTTTTTGTTCCTCGAATGTCTTCAGGGCACTTTTGGCCAGCTGGAGAGGTGTGAGGTTCGAACTCCAGCAACCTGAGGCTGACAGCTTTGTGGAAGCAGCCACTTAAAGGCCTGAGCTACGGCCAGGCCCCCTACAAGTAGTTTTATACTGAAGAAAGAAATATACCCACCCCCAGACGACGCTGAGATGGCAGTTGAGACTGGGCATGGTGGCGCGCACCTGTAATCCCAGCACTTGGGAGGCCATAAACAGGAGAATCTCTGAGTCCAATCTAGTAGTAAGACCCTGAACACCCTGTAGACCCTTCCCTAAAATATAGAAAGAAAAAGTTTAAAAAGAAAGAAATATACAATTGTAGTTTTCTATATGAATTTGAGAGTGCCACACAGGGAGATGCAGATCCTAATTTGCCTTTCAGGAATAGTAGTAGTCTGTGAAGTTCCTTTTTTTTTTTTTTTGGTAGAACTGGGGATTGAATTCAGACCCTTGTGCTTGCCAGAGAAGCGCTTGTTCTACTGAGCCATCTCCCCGGCCCCTGTGTTTCTTTTTTTTTTTTTTTTTTTTATCTTCAATATTTGAGATTTTATTGGTTGTGTTGAGGATCAGTACACATGATTCACTTTGCACACAATTCTTAACACACATACCAAAAAAAGCCGTATATTGTTTTTCAGTTGTTCCAGTGACTTTCCATCTTCAAATTTAGAGGCAAATTTTCTATAAGAGGATTAAGTACCAGTATCTTTAAATGCTGACAATGTGTTACTTAAGTCCCACCAATTCACAATTTTGTATCACATACACTACATAATCAAATTTTTGATCTTTCACAGCACATTAACAAAATGAGGCAAACCGGACTACCACTACCAAAGATGTTACAGAGTGCACACGATTCTGACAGGGCAACAATTAGGATGTAGTTTTCTTTAGGAAACAACTCTACCAAAAATGAGAATAGAAGTCATTTAAAGTATCCAAGACATTATTAAATGCAGGACTGTAATTCCAAATTGCCATTTAGTATGCTTTGTATTGCAGGATATAAAACTAACCCCCACCTATGGAATGTTAAGCTGACACCCAAGACAGGCAAAGCCTGCCATAATTCAATATCCCACTATTTCTGGTTGTACCAAAAAATAAACAACCAGAGAATGATTTTACCCTAAAAAAAAATCATTTACACTTAAAAAATGCGATGAGGTGGGATTCCCTCCTTTTTAAAAATGTTTCTAGAGCTACTAAAAAACTTGCATTTACAAAATAGTTGATAAAATTATTCCTCTGGATTGTACAAGAAGGGAGACAGGGAGCACTGATAAGACATGGTGTGTGATTAATCAGACTTGGCTTCTTTTTCTTCTGCTTCATCAGAAGCTGCACTCTCCTCATTTTTAGTTTCTCCATTTTCGCAGGTAAATCTTCCTTGGTTTCTTGATTAGCCACTTCAGCCTGTTTTCCCTTGGCTCCCCTTTTCCCTTTTGCTTGCACTTTTTTGTCCGAAGATTTATCCTTTCCGGCTGCCTTTTTTGGCTTCGTTTCCACTTTAGCTGGAACAGGTTTAGCCGACAATCTCGCCGATCTCCTCTTGGGCTCCTCCTTCGCCGCCCCTTCGGCCGAGCTGACTTTCCTCTTGGGCATCTTGGCGGCGCGCAGGGCGCGTGCGGAGGCTGCGGGTCGAGGCGCACCGGAGCCTCGCGGAGATAGGGAGATACGCAGCTCGACCGCTGCCGTTCCTCCCGCCGCCAGAGCAGCTGGAACCCTGCTTTGTATTTCTTGATCAACCTAGTATAAAAACAATGACATAGGTCTTTGTCGTTGACAAAGACTCTCCCCCTCTCCCCCTTCCACACAAATAGCAGTTTTGCCTTAACTTGCTACATGATCTCCCCTCTCACTGGGGGAAAGGCATCAGGACTAGAGTCCTCTCTCTCTCTCTCTCTCTCTCTCTATATATATATATATATATATATATATGCCCTTCTCAAAGCATTTTCATATGAATCTCCCTTTAACCCTTTCCCTCTCCAATCCAGGAGGTGGATGTTATCACTAATTTATAGATGAGGTAATGAATTTCAGAGATAAGCTAAGTGGGTTTTCCAAGGTTGTACTAATATAAGGATGCTGTGTTCCGTAACTCTGGCATAGCTGTCCAATTTATTAGAATTTCCTGCAAGGGAGAGAGTGCCAGGTACAAAACTTTTCGCTCAATGGTTATCTTTGACCAGAAATACTGGTCATTATTTTAATGGAAAATCTAAATATTTACTGGATTCTGGGATATAGTCATTCAGTTATAGAATGGCCGTAACCCTTGTGCTGTTTTTTGTTTTGTATGTATTTGGTTGTTGCAGGGTCTCACTTGGCAGCTTGGACTAATGATCCTCCTGCTTTCAATCTCCCCCATGCTGGGTTTTTAAGTGTGCACCACTGCACCTGAATTCTAGCTGACTCAGCCCACCCTGGGGTAGGGCTGGCACAGCATGTGGTGCTGGGGATCAAACCATCTTCCCTGCAATTACCTAAGCAGGCAGCCTTTTTTTTTTGGGGGGGGGGGAGCAATAGGGTCTCACTAAGATTGTAAGTTGCCTAAGTTGGGTCCAACCTTGCAGTCCTTCTGCCTGCCTCAGTCTCCTAGAGTGCTGGGATTATCGGCATGCAACCTCCATTT